ACACACACACACACACATATCCATACACACACCACATCACACCCATACATACACACCCCTGTCTCCAGAAATGAAAGAGGTCTGAGAATCACCCTGCTGAGAGAAAACGCTTTGACCAACTCAAGTTGCTTCTACTTTTGTTTTTTCTGGGGCACAGCTCTTTTACCATATACTCCCATCAACTCCACCCTCTTCCACTCCCCCAGGGGGAGCATTTTTTGGCACTACATGTAAGTCTGAGTGAAACATCTGGTTTTGGTGCACTCCTGCTCAGAGAGAGGGCCATTCTTTGATTTGAGGTCAATACTACTGGAATGAAAGTGAAATTCACAGAACTGTTTATTTCATCAGCTGTCAGATTTGGCTAATTACCATGTTACAACATTAAATAAAAACTACTCAAGCTGACCCCCCTCACCAAAGTGGTTTTCTTCACAAAATGGCAATGTTTTATGCTTACAATTAAAAACATGTCACTGATATTAGTTTAGTATAAATATCATCTACCATGGTGGAGTGTAGGAAAATACTATACATTTACTTTTTGTTGCAAGCTATGTTGTTGCACTGTCAGATCAATAATTTATCCCCAATCCGCCATAATAGGTCTTTTCTATATACATATATTCTTTGCACACACATACGTATGTTCATGTATATTGGATTCTACAGCATCAGCAATGATGCCTGGGTCATAAAATAGTTCGGGTTGTATTATAAATACACATACATATACATATTATACACAAAGCACACACACACACACACACATACTTTCTACATGGATGCTAGATCCACATAGACTGAATCACACTAAGGACTGCTTTGCCAGAAACATAACCTAAAACAAAAACCATAATGTCAGAAGAAAATACTAGCTCACAACAGAGTATATACATTATCTATATTAAAAAATGTCCTGTAGCTATTGTATCTTCAGCAGGATCTGTAACGTTTATGTGTGGCATGTAGCTGCCACAAGCAATCCCTGCTTCTGCAAGAAATTCACCTCCACTGGGAAAACTTCAGAAGTAATTACTGCGCATGTATTCCCAGTGAGTCAAGGATAGAACCACAGGCCACCCTAAGCTGTGCCAATGGTGTTTGGCTGGTTTGAAAAGACTTAATAAACAATTCTTAGATTAAATTGGGGTGGGGTGAAGAGGGTGCAGTCAGCAGAACTATGTAGGACAAAGATAGGGGATGATACCTTGTGAAAACTTGAAAAGTACACTTTAGGAGGATTCTGGCTTTTTTTTTTTAAACCTTTCTCTTATTTCCAATTTTAACAGTCAGGAACCTGTACTTCATCTAAAATGTGTTGTGGATTCCAACAACAGGACGTTCTGGGTTTATTAAAGGGACTGTTTTCTTACAGGGTCATAATTGTACGTGTGTGTGTGTGTGTGTGTGTGTGTGTGTATGTGTGTGTTTAAAACTGGCAATTAAAAAGCATTTAAAATAGCTAGAAAATTTGCATTGGACCTTTCCACAGCAGTGATGAATTTAACATTAGAGATACTTCTTCTACACCAATTAATCTAATGCAATTACTGTTGCTAGTCTCCACTCTCCTTTTAAAAAGAGAAGTAGTAGTTGGCTTACTAATCACTATGGTTAGCCTTTGTAATACTACATTTTTACTTCCTTGGGAAAACAATAATATAAGGATTAAATCCAAAAATATAGTGCATCTTAAAAGCAGCATACCCTTAGAAAGACATTTAATAAATTACTTGTACATTATACAAAATAATAGTCTTCTACTGCAGCATCAACTCTGATGCCTGAGTCATCATATATTAGGAAGTCCACGACATAAATATTAGGATGTCCTAGTAACTTGACTAAGAATTTTTCTTTTTCTTCTCTAACCAATTTGTTCCAGAATCAGTGTGCGATGGAGTTCTGTCTTATTCAAGGCACCCTCAGAGAATGTGCAGAAACAAAATACATACTGCAAAGCATTTGCGTGACAATAGCACAATAAGCTTAAATGAAATGAGGTTTTTCTGGCGATACAGGGAGCATGGAGAAGGCAGATGAAAAGGGAACACTAAGCTGGGGTGAGATCTGCCTACTTATTGCTGTTGCCCCAATTATTGGTTGTCCCATGGATGGAAGCCACTTGGAATCTGAAGTAGATACCACTAGAACTTTGGCCATGGATAAGGGGTGGTTTTTTCTTTATTTTGGAAGGAAGGGATTTCAAAAACACAATTATAGACTTTAATTTTGTGTAAGTTGTTTTTCTCACTGTTACTTTTACTTTTTTTTTTTTTAAATTTTGAGTGGAGGGGGAGAGGAAAAAGGGTAATCAATTTTTGATCTGGAAATTCTCTGTACTGCATGGGAGCCAATTCAGATTCAGTCCCATATCTAGTCCTCCCAAGGGTCTCCCTTTTAAGTCTCTCCAAATGAATCAGTAACAGATTTGATAAGCACATGGTTCAGAATAGCCAAAACCACATCTATAGCATCTGAACAATTACATGAAATCAGTTACTTCATGGGGTGAATACATATAATTTAAAAAAAGGATCCCCAAAAGCTGAAAAAGCCTTTTTCCCCCTTGACCAATAGTTTTCATCAATAGTTCCCACGGCAAAGGTTGGGTTAGTAGACAGTCAAGGGAGGGAAAAAAATAAACAGATTCACCATCAGCGAGAGCCAGGTTGGAACCAAATAGCTGCAGCACAAGGTCTGTGGGTGTTTAAAAGTAACAAGAACAATAATACGCACAAAGGATGGAATGAGGTCAAGACTACCAGTTGCACATGAGTTGTGAATTGGGTAAAATCATGTCAAGAAGCTGGTGCAGACTTGGTTATTTATATATTCATAGAACAGTAAAAACAAAACCAAAAACAAAAAAAGAGGAGGTCATTAAAAAAAGGCAACAACAAAAATAGTTTAAAAAATACTGTCAGCTGACCCCCTCCTGATAACAAAAACCTATGAAGTGATCATGTGATTCACATTTAGTTTAAAATTCTTGCTGTCACCATTGTCTCCCACAAATGAAAACCTTATGGTGAAGTAAAGAATTACTTTACAAGGTCAAGAAATTCCAACAACAACAATAACAACAACAAATAAGAAAAAAATGAATTATCCATAGAGGGCCTTATAAAAAACTGTTTCAGTCATACACACACACACACACACACACACAAACACACACACACACACACATACACATAAAAACAAAAACTTAGAGGCAGGTCTTCAAAAAGAAAGAATTTTAAAAGAAAAGGCTTTTTTTTTTTTCCTACTGTGTGAATCAACAGTTTCTGGCATCCATACATATTTAAACATTTAGAGCTAGTATTTTGTACAGAAAAAGTTAATACTAAAACATATGTTATTATGGTTTCACTTTTCGCCTACGTTTTATACTAACTTCCCCCTTTTACATGCGGCTTTAATATTATCCAAACAGTGGCACAAATAAAGAACCAAAAATCAGCCACTTAGCCCCCGATGACCCCTCCCACCCTAGCCCCATATCAAACCATACACAATTCTCCTCCAGAGCCAGACTGTAGCCACGGGGTCAAGGGGTGTTAAGCAAGACCACGGCATTCATGAGTGTCCATGTTCATGATGTCATAAAAGTATCACTGGAGTGAGGGAGCTGATTCCTCCTCCTAAGGAAAGATGCTGAGCTACTGAGTGCCTGAAGAGAAACACCGGTGCACACCTCATGTGTAAACGTTTGCACCAGAGGAGAACATCATCCCTCTGTGCTGAGGAAAAGCTGCTCTCTTTATGCAGATGTGCACAGCCAACCAGTTTTGTAGCAAAAGAAGAAAAATGCCATTAGGAAGAGTTCTGGTATTGTCTTGCCTAAAGCCTCATAATGAGCTATGGACATACTTGGGCAGCAGGACAGTGAAATAACCTCAAAACACAACTCAATGCACTTGGAGGAGGAAGGGAGGGAAAAAAAAACTCTTCTGCCTATGCCAGGAGGAGGCTTTGGGCTTGCAACTGCACTACTGTCTCTCCTATTTGGGGCATGTTTGCTTCACTGGCCCTTCGGACCATTCAAAGACCAGCCATTGGTTCAATGAATCTACAGATCAACCAATTGCTTCAGTCATCTCCAAGGAGATTGACCTTCTCAAAGGTAGTTGGGTTGATGGCCATGACTTCAAAAGAGAAGATCCTATAACAGAACCCTTCAGAGAATAAGTAGTGACCAACCACAACTTACTTCCTTAGGGAAGAAAACAGAACTTGGTTTCTAGACACCAACACCTACAGAATCCTGGTGTAAAATCATGGATGGATGTTCTGTTACTGATGCATTTTTCAAGTGGGATGCCCAAACTCTCTCCCCACCTAAGAATTCGGACATCAAGCATCCATCACTAACTAGATGCATTTAAAATTTGCTTGAGGAAAGGGAAGGGAGGGGGCTAAGGAGTTGAAATACAAAAATATTCAAGCAGATTATCATCTACAAATTGGAGGGTGAATTCATTATTTGGCAAGATTGTTTCTCCTACATAATTATCACCTGAGTGCTTTTTTAATTACCTAAAATGTTTTACTTTTTTTAAACTATAAAGCAAATAATATACAGTATACTCGAGTTATACTGAAGTTACAACTTCATTTATGAAAATAGGTTTGACCCCAAACTCAGTGCAAGTGGCAAAGTTGACCATTACTGTACAGTATCTGCAAGAAAAAAAATCCACAATGCTCAGATGGCACCATTTGTTTGTGCCCAAAATTAAACAAAACAAAACAAAAACTCTGCAATCAACTCTCAAATAAGCTTTCAATGTTGATTTTTCCATAAATAAGTACAAACTGAGTAATATTGATGAACTATGAACCAAGAAAAAAATCACTGCCATAACAAGTTACCAAACTACTTCTAGCATCAAAGGCAAACAAAAAAAAAAAAAAAGGAAAAAGAAAAAAAAGGAATGTTGGAACTTGTTTATACGTTAGAAATGAAAGTTTCCAGTTTTAGGATGAGAAAATTGAGGCATGCAGGGACTTTTGCATATGGAGATATATTTTTATATATTATATATATTATATGTACAGTTTAGTTATAAAACTTTGATGTGTATAGAAGCTGTCTTCAATGAAAAAAAATTGAACATTCAGAGGAAATTCCTGAGATAGGGTTTTGTGACATGGGCCACTGAGAAAATAATCTGTGGTTGGGTCCTCAGAGGTGTTATGTCCATCCCTGTTAAGATTGAAATTAACATTTAAAAACAGACAGTGTTGCCACTGTTTGAGTTCCCTGCCTGGGCAAGGGATAGCACCATTGTGAAGATAACTAGGTAACTCCTGCTTGTAGGGAGGAGGAAATACTTAAAAACAGTATTGCTGCTAAGACCACTGTAGTGTGCACCAAATTCGTTCTTCTAGACAACAAATGAACTGGCCACAGGCTGACTGACGAACATTTGTCTGGGTGGGGATGTCAGGGCCCAAGTCACTAGGTATAATCTTTCCTGGGCTGTTCGTCTGTTGTACATTTATCAGTCATTTCCTGGCAGAAGTCCACGGTCACTGTTTGGCTCCTTGGTTCTAGAGACGGCCCTCTCTCTGAGTATGTACCTTGGTCAACTCCATCCAACCTCCTCCCAGCTGTACAATTCTCTGACACATTGTTGGGCAGCCAGGGAGTCCCAAGGGGCATGGTGCCCTGATCCAAGCAGCACTGCATGCTTTCCCCTACACACTGGGATGCTGCTAGATTTTGCTCCATGGCAGTGGGCGAAGGGTTAATACTGGTGGCTGTGGGGAGATCCATTGGCCTGAGGACAGGGCAATACCGGTGCAAGGCTTGGATTTGCTCAGGGCTCTGGATATCTCGGCACACTTCTTGGGAAAGACAGGAGAAGTTATCTAAGAGTTCCCCCATGCATGCTTTCAGCTGGTTTCTTTCGGATAACAGTTTTTCTTTCTCGCATACCTGGGGAAACAGAACCAAAGTGAAGGTTTGCATGGAACTGTGCCCCACCCAGGTAACATTTCCAGTGAACTTGTGACATCCTCGTTTGTGTCTGTGACATCCTGAGTTGTAATATAACCTGTGTGCATCAGACGAACTGGGACCACATTCTGGAGATCTCACACTACTCTGTGTATACATCCAATACTTGATTAACTAGATTCCTTAGGGAGTGGTTGAACTTTCTGGTTCCTAGGTAGGAAATCAGCAAATTCTCTTTGTTTACAACCTAATGATTAAATATCTTTTTATAATGAATCAGTAGACTTTTCTGCCTTAGTAAGTACAGTATACTGAACATGGTTGTTGATTTTTTTTTGGGGGGGGAGGAAAAGAAAAGGTTTGTTAGTTAAGGACTGTGCAGTGCCTGAAGGTCCTTTATTCTCGTTTTCTAGTTCTATACATGTAGCTACATCGGAAAGGAAGCATGCTCATGGAAATAGCACTGGATTTGGTCCCAAAGGACCTGGGTTCAAGTCTCAGTTCTGCCTCTCTCTATGTCCTGGGGCAAGCAACTCGATCCCTCTGGGCTTCCATTTTCTTATCCGTAAAACAAGGAGTTTGGACTCTAAGGTCCTTTCCAAATTTAAATCTGTAGTGCTGCAATTTTGTGTGGGGAGCTAGTCAGGAAATACCAAAGGAAAAAAAAAAGGAATTTCCAAAAAATCAGCTTGTATTCTTACAGAAGTAGCTGAGGCATAGTGAAAAGAGGATGGGACTTGAAGGCGGAAGACCTGGGTTTGAATTGCAGCTCTACCAATTGATAGCTGTGTGACCTGAGGCAAGTCACTTAACCTTTATAAGCCTCAGTTTCTCACCTGAAAATGTGGATAATATTATTTGGCCTGTCTACTTTACACCGCTGTCATGAGGTTCAAATGCAATGATGTACTATAAAATTCCCCATCAGTCATAAAGTTCTTGACATGTTAGTTATTATTATGGCTTCTTGACCCTTTTTTATCAAAGTAGAACAAACATACAAAGCAAAATAGTCTTGTTAATCAAAAAATTTCACCAAAAATACATGAAAGAAGAAAAGGGCTAGAGAAGTTTTAACATACAAATGGAATTCAACAGCACAGTGTGACCAGAGATCTGATTAGATAGGATGCAGAAGGGTAAGTGTGGGTGGGTGAGTGAGTGAGTGAGTGAGTGAGTGAGTGAGTGAGTGTGTGTGTGTGTGTGTGTGTGTGTGTGTGTAATAAATGAAGTTACATTTCAATACTCACTTTGAAGATCTATAATGTCACCAGTGTGGATACTTACCTTAATGCAAATAGCAACTCTGATAATTTGGTAGATTGTTTTTTGAGAGATGCTGTGGTGGAAAAACTTCATTACCTTGTAGCTAACTTGGTAATGACCCTTTTCATACAGGCTAGTCCTTAGACAAGAGATGTCTAGTCTGTCCCTAGGCCTCCTCCACTTGAAGCCCTTCAAGCATGGCAGGACTGACCAAAACCTGAACTCCCCTGGCAGTCTTTGAGAATCCAGGGCTCCCTCTATACCACAATGAAGTCTAAGAGGAGGAGGGCTTTAATGGAGGAAATTTCTTCCTCAGTCTAAAAGCCATGTTAGGATAACGTCCAAGTGTAGCTATTGAATTCTGTTTGTACATTGTATTAATTCTGTTTGTACACTGAACACTCTCTAGTCCTTTCCCTCTCCCAGTGAAATTTTGATTAAACAGAACCTTTTTTTGTATACTTAATCTACATTTATGATAAAGAGACCTGGGGCAGTAATTATAGATAATGCTGTCACCAATTCAAACCGGCAGCTTTCACAACCACTATCTGTAGCTGTGGTTAAACATTTCCTCTCCTTGGGCCTCAGTTTCCTCATTAGTAAAATGAGAGGGACTGGGTTAGATGACCTATAAGGTCCCTTCCAGGACTAACATTCTATGACTATAGGATCATTGAAATGCGCTGACTGGTCATGTACATGGTCTTTTTTGTTTTGTGAATGTGGGAATGGCCTAAAGTCAACATAGTAGCTTCATTTGGGGGGCTTTTAAGAATGGCTGGATCAGTATTTACAGGTACAGTCACAGTTATGTCTGTCATTAAATGCTGGAGGTTTTGATATAAGCCACATGACAACTACTAATAGGCTTACAAATGAAAGCTCTCCTCCACAGTTTTAGATTCTGGACTCCCCTTTCTGTACTAAATCAGTCTGTGAGAGTGGCCCCGCCTGGCTCCCCTGCCAGTGTGACAGCTCCAGAAAAGTCCTCTCCTTTTTTCCGCATGCTGGGGAGCCCTTCCTTTGGGGCTGTGCCAATCACTGTTTTCTCTGGGCAGCTACCAAGCACAGCTGGATTCATCCCTTTGGCACTAGCAGCGCCTCGTTTTCTCAGTTGGTGCCAGGCTTGACAGTGGCAAGAAAGCTGTGGTGACTGACACAGCAATCTGTGTGTAGGAGGCACCACGCAAGGATGGCTTACCTACCATTTGGAGAGTAAGCTTTTACACCCTGCTAGTTGTCTCCAAGCAAGGACTGCCTCACAGAAGGGCAACAGAAAGGATAAGGAGGAAATGTAAAAGGCTGTAGGAAGTGAGCGGACTTCACAATTAGTTCCACAGCAACTAAGCCCTATCTCTGTCAATACTGGCAGATGGTGCTTAGCACAGTGCCTGGCACACAGTAGGTGCTTAATAAATGTTTATTACCTAGTTGATCTGATGTCTATAGGTCACGCCATCGGGTATTGGTCATCATACCCTGGGCAGACAGGGATGTCTTTGGCCTCTCGTGCCCTTCTCTTTGGTACCCTTGCCAACCTCTTCCAAATTAGAAACAGCAGGGAGAGTGTGTGTGTGTGTGTGTGTGCGCGCGTGTGCGTGCATGCGTGTGTGTGTGCGTGTGTGTGTGTGTATAAGGGAAAGACAAAGGAAGGGAGGAGATGGAAAGAAAAGGAGAGGCAAGGGGGAAAAGAGGGAGAGAGGAGGAGAGGAAAGATGAATATCAAGCAAGCAGAAACCCAAGAAAGAAAATGAATCCTTATGTGGAGAATGTGAGAGAAAGGAAATGCAATCTGGCAGGCAGGGTGGCCATGTGTGTCTGAGAGATTTACACAGGGAAAGGGCACCTGCTAAAATATTTATAAATTTACCAAGAAAACATGTTTAAAAAATGAAAAATAAACAGATGTAGACATGTAACTTGAGAGAAATACATTAGGCAAGTTTGCAAAAGCTGTGTGGCGTGTGCTGGAGACGAAGAATTCTGAGGGGGTGAATGGGGGATAGGAAGGACCCAAAGAACTTTGGAAAAGTTGGAGCTTTCTGGCCTCCACACAAAGCCTGGATCAGAGTAGGGGAATGAGTCTCTTGTGCCGTGCAAAGGATAGCAAAGTTTCCTGGCTTTCACCCTCAGTAGAGGAGGCATCCCTAGGAGAAGCTAGGGATAGGGTGACTGGAGTGATGATCTGACCAGGGCCCGCAGGGAGAACACAGCTAGCCTAGTACACCATTAATTAAACTGGTATTGTGGAGATGAGCAAAATGTTCAGTGAGAACTTCCAAGTAGGGGAACATGCGTTTGTGTGCTACTTCCTCAACGGGGACACTGAGGCTGAGTGTACTTTTTTACACTGATTATAAAGCATTTAAGAGCTTCTCCTGCTTTTCAAGTGGTTTCACTTGTCTGCTTGATTTTTATCAAGCCAGAGACTTAAAATAAGGCAAAAGGCTGCCTGAGGCATAGTAACAGGGAGATGTCATGGCAATTGTGTATGATGCAATGTTGATACATCTTTCACTTCCCAGGTTAATGCAGACATAGCCTCAGTAATGGGCTCCACTATTTGACTCTTTGGAAATGTGGGGATGAATGCAGAATTTTACAGAACTGAGGCTGACTCTTAGTCTGAGGTTTAGTTGTCTTGGAAGGAAAGGAGCTTAGCACTGTGAGTGGCAGTGAACTTTGAACTCTATCTTTCTTCACTGCAAGAGAATGAATGAGATACTCTTAAGCATGTAGAATGGGACATCTGTTTGTGAATGACATAGAATCATAGGTATTAGAGCTGGAAAAGATCTTATGAGATCATCTTGTCTAGACCTCTGCCTTGAATCAGGTGAGCTATCAATAGCCCCTTTTTTATAGGTAAATTTGAAAAAGAATTATCTTTATATAAATAATAAAGCCCATGGGATGCTATTAGCATTTTGTATACATACAAACACCTGAAGCTATAATTTGCTTTTGGGCCATTATTTTAAAATAAAATTAAAAGATCATAATCCTCTCCTGGATGCTGGCCTCTTTTGACATTTCCCTTTATTCTTGCCTTCACTATCCAACTTTTCCAGCAATCCTGGAGATTTCCAATTGCAGAGCAAGGGGACAGAGTGGCCCAACTCACCAACTTCCGTATTTCACATTCCAAATTCTGAATGCAGTCCAGTTTCCTTTTGCGGCAGCGTTGAGCTGCAATTCGATTCTTGCTACGTCGGCGAACATCATGAATGAACTCTAACTGTTCTGAGGTTAACTTGTGCATCTTTATCATCATCTGGAAGTCGTTTCTTGGAAGATCTGTGATTTGATCGACAGGAAACGGAAGTTTGACCTGAAACCAAGGATGAAGATCATTAGCTATCACAGTATGACTACTGTATATTTCTAACAGATAAAACATTCTCCCCAAAATGTCAATGTCACCTTCATGAGGTTACAAAATTAGTGAAGATAAGTTGGAAAATGAATCTATTGCTAGTTTAGAGCTTAAGTGAGGGACAGCAGCTTCACATTTTTAAATATAAGGGAATTCCAAGATTTAGGTTAAACATAAATAGCTAAGGGAGAACACAAAGCAAGCACAAACACATACGCTGTGTTTGATTGTCACTGGAGCCTATGGAAGAAAATGATGCTGAATAGACTGGAATGAGGAGACTTTTCAAATGACATAGTACTTTTATCCTAATCTAATCCAACAAGTATTTAATTAAGCTCTCACTAGGTACATAAGGCAGTGAGAAGGAACACTGGCTACAAAGTCAAGATGGCCCTAGGCTCAAGTCACACCTCTGACACTACCTGGGTGTGACACTGGTTAAGTCCTTTCCCTTTTCTAGGTCTCAGTTTCTTCATCTACAAAACAAGAGGTTTGGACTAGCCTTATAATGCTATGATCCTTCCCTCAAGTAGTTTCTATTTTACTGTGGGGAAATAACACCTACACAGGTAAGTATGTACATGATCAGGAAAAGCTTCATCTGAGCCTTGCATGAAATTAGGGCATTCTAAGAGGTGGAGGTGAAGGAGAAGGTGCAATTCAGGCATAGGATAGAGCCTGTCTAAAGGCAGACAGAAGGCTGAATCTGGAGAACAGCATGAAGGCCTGTTAGGGCTAGAATGTATAGTGAAGGAGAATAATGTGAAATAAGTCTCATTAATACTAATTTAAATGGGTTATTCTAGTAATCCTTATGAAATCACTAGCCATATACAAAGTATCAATTAAGGTAACGCTTGAGCACCAAACAGTTGAACAAATGGGCACTCAACAATGTGTTGCAGTTAGCTTATACCTGCTTAAGATCTGATTGTTAAATTTTTATACCTAAGAAATTGGCAAACACTACAAATCAGGGTTTATTATTCTTTTGATTGTGATAGAGTGATGGAGAAAATGTTAATAATGCAGGATAAACTTAAAAGTGTGTTCTGTGTACCTTCCCGTCATCCCCACCCCCAAATTGATTGTTCAGCATTAATCAGCACATCCCTGCAGGTATCTAACACTTTGGAGAAACTGGAAGGCTTAACTTCCTAGTTCTTTCCTCTGGGGTCAAGCACAGTACCTCATCCATCTTCCATGTGTCAACCCTCAAATACTTGAAGACAACTAACATTCAGCATTCCTCGTCTTCCAAGTCATCTTTTCTCCAGGCTAAATATCCCTGGGTTCCTTCAACTGGTCTCAATATGGCCTGGTTTCTAGTCCCATCACCTTCCTGTTTACTCTCTTCTGGGTATAATCCAGTTCACTAATATTCTTTTAAAAAATGTGTCATGGAGAACCGTACATAATACTCCAGTTGTTGTATGATCAGAGTAAAGTGCAGTGGACTTTATGACCCTGGACACTATGCCTCTATGAACACAATCTGCCTCCAACGCTGAAGCAATATGGAAATTTGAGTTGTTTATCTCAACTAAATTGGCACTATCATTCTAGCCTGCCAAGGCTTCTCTACCCTGATTCTGTTGTCTAACCCGACAGCTATTATTACCAGTGAAAGATAATCATCACACTTTATATTTATATAGCATTATATAAATGCTATGCTATTAGTTACCATGAGCCTCGAGGATTAGCTTGTTTGGTTTTCACGATAACTCTGGTAGGTAGATATGAGGTACAACTCACATTGCCCTCATTTTCGTGGAGGGGGAATTGAGGTATGAAGAGGCTAGATGACTAATGGGATCAAAGGAATTAGAGCTATAAGGGACCTTGGAGACCAGCCACTTCAATGCCCTCATTTTATTTTTATTTTAATATTTTATTTTTTTCCAATTACATGTAAAGAAAGTTTTCAACATTCACTTTTATAAGATTTTGATTTTCCAACTTTTTTTCTCCTCTCCCCTCTCCCCAAGAGGGCAAGCTATCTGATAAACAAATTTCCACATTAGTCATGTTGTGAAAGAAAAATAAGAACAAAAGGGAAAAACCAAGAGATAGAAAAAAAGAGAGAAAATAGAATGCTTTAATCTGCATTCTGACTCCATAGGTCTTTCTCTGGACGTGGAGAGTATTTTCCATCATGAGTCTTTTGGAGATGTCTTAAATCACTGTAATGCTGCAACCCTCTCATTTTAAAGATGAGGATGTTGAGGCCCAGAAGTGAAGTGAGAGGCCCAAAGCCACACAGCCCTAAGTGATGGGGCTGGAAGTAGAACCTTGGCCTTCTGCCTTCAACACCAGTGGTCTTTCTGTTCCAATATGCCTGCTTGCATATGTGCACATGTCAGGTATCCCAGGGTTTTAATTCTATTGGATTCATTGGTAGACTGGTACTACAGTTCCTAACTATTTTTTTTGCCAGCCAAGGCAGTCAAATTATTTTTCCCCCTAAAGTTAGAACATAATCTCCTAGAGGGCAGAAACTGTTTTCTCTGTATTCTGTAAAGTATCTAGTTATTACAATGCCCTGCCTGGAGGGATGCTGATTGATGAAGACGGGGATAGGAGTGGGACTTGTGATTCCATGGGCAGCTGGGTAACACAGTAGGATAGAATACTGGGCCTGGAATCCGGAAGACTCATCTTCCTGACTTCAAATAAGACCTCAGGCACTTACTACCTGTTTGCCTCAGTTTCCTCATCTGTAAGAAGGAAAAGGCAAACCACTCCAGTATCTTTGCCAAGAAAACCCCACAAGAGGTCACAAAAAGTTGGACACGATTGAAAATGACTTAACAATGACAACAAAGAAAGAAGCTCTTGGTGAGGAAATCCCTCTACCAATGCAGGTTGAAACCTCTGAAACTTCCAGTCTCAGAAAGTTACCTAACATAATTGAGAGGAAGCGACTTGCTCAGCGTCACATATCGAGTATGTCAGGGCTGAGAGAGGCAACATTGTGTGGTAGATAGATAAGAGAACTGCCCTTGTAGTCAGGACCACCTCTGAGTAACTGATGACACCCTCCTTAAAGTTCTTCCTTGATGCCATGTCAAGGTGTGGAGGTGATCCTCAGTCCTTAAAGGCAGGTAGAGTACAATCTCTGATGGGTGGAAAGATTTTGATTGGTGATGTGGCAATGTGTGTCTGCCCACTGGGAACTGGCCTGGCTAAGTACTGAGGGGCACATTACCAGGAAACTGGCTGCCTCATGATCAAGTTTATTGGCCACAGCATCTCATCAAGATCCTCTACTAAGGGATGGAGGAGCTGCAATCGAGGTCAATGGAAGATGTATCCTCACTGATGAAATAATGGCTCTTATGAAGTGAAAAGATCAAAGAATCGTGATAAAACTGAATGCAACAATTTCACAAACTCACAATTTCATATACTAGCCTCTTTTTTTTTGTTCCTTACATATTGAAATATTTAGATTGGTTCATGATCAAAAAGTTCATCATAAAAAATGAAAATAAATAAAAGTGAGTTCATACAAAGCCAAGTTTGGCAAAAGCCTAAGGGAGTAGGTTCTCTTGCATGCTTCACTAGTGAAGGATTCGACTCTGAAAACTAACTGCGACTATTTAATACTTACTAACCCCCCCATGATAAGAGGCAGCTTGGTGGAGTAGATGGAATGAAAGAAAAAGCATTTATTAAACACTATGTGCCAAGAACAGCACTAAGCACTGAGGTTACAAAGAGAAAAAAATAAAGAGTCCCTGTACTCGAGGATCTCACTCTCTAAATGGGAAGATAACACATAAAACAGAGTTCAGCGGCAAGGCTGATGCAGAGGTCGAAAGGCATAAGGGTTCAGTGACCGGGCAGATGCCAAGGCCCAACGGGTCTTAGGTTACATAAGCAGGTTGGATGACGGTGCCAGGGGACTGAAGGGCATAGAGACAGCTGTGGCACATGGATAGAGAAAATGCACAGTCAGCAAATACCCTAGAGAGTTTTAATAGCATAGAAAGAGCTCTGGACCTGGAGTAAGGAAGATCTGAGTTTGAATCTGGCCTCAGACATTTTCTATCAAGACACACTTAACCTGTTTGTTTCAGTTTCCTCAACTGTAACATAGGGATAATAACAGCACCTACCTCCCAGGGCTGTTGTGAGGATGAAATGAGATAATATTTGTAAAAAATGCTTAGCACAGGGCTTCGCACATGGGAGACACTATATAAATGCTTATTCCTTTCCCCTACCAAATAGTAAGGCCTAGTGGTCTTCTATGTCACTAGAAGGAACAAGTGACAAATGACTTATTGATCTGTATGAGTGGAGGAAATGTCCACACTCTGAATTCCTTATGTTAATTAAATCATAGGTAGGGGCTCTTCTCCCTCTTCCACCCCCATCCCAAACCCAACACCTGCTATGTGTTATGATCTTAGACATCATTCAAAACAGGCTCCCTGTCCTCTTAGAAAGAGTTCATGCTATTAAAACTTTCTAGGGTATTTGTTGACTGTGCATTTTCTCTCTGTTAAGCCAACGGGACCTGCTGGCTTATCTTGTTCCTTAGGGAAATGAAAGCCCTACACTCATAGGCCAAGAAGCAAACATACTGGAATCTGAATCCTCATTTTAGAATTTGTTAGGCCTGAATTACCCAGTAGATGGCACTAAACACCCAAACTTCCCTCCAGCTACAGACTCCTTCCTGAACAAATGGGCTAAGGCTCCTATCAACTGTCATAGAACATGGATTTACCTGGATTTCCCAAACGAGATTCCTGAAAGAGAAACCCACTCCTCCTTGGTATTCAGAGGCTGAAGTATCACATCTGGAGGGCTGTTTAAGCAGCCATTATCTCTAAACTAAGACCTACTTTCTTTGTTCCTTTCCACCTCTACACTGATACTAGAGCTTGTTAATCCTTGGGCCCAAAGTGATCACTTGATTTTTCCTTCCCTGTGTGTAA